GGGAAAGTAGCACTTGCAAGCTCACTAGTTCACTTAATTTGGAATTCTCAACTACAGCAACTCCAATCCCACATTTAAGCGCATACAATACTTGTCCAGTAATGTTTGTTGTTGTTGTTAATTGCGAAGTCATGTCCGACCCATCGTGACCCCATGGACAACGTTCCTCCAGGTCTTCCTGTCCGCTACCATCTTCTGGAGTCCATTTAAGTTCACACCTACTGCTTCAGTGACTCCATCCAGCCATCTCATTCTCTGTCGTCCCCTTCTTCTATTGCCCTCAATCTTTCCCAGCATTAGGCCCTTCTCCAGTGAGTCCTTCCTTCTCATTAGGTGGCCAAAGTATTTGAGTTTCAACTTCAGGATCTGGCCTTCTAAAGAGCAGTCAGGGTTGATCTCTTCTAGGACTGACCGGTTTGAACGCCTTGCAGTCCAAGGGACTCACAGGAGTCTTCTCCAGCACCATAGTTCAAAGGCCTCAATTCTTTTGCGCTCAGCCTTTCTTATGGTCCAACTTTTACAGCCAGTCCAGTAATGTACTGGGAGCTAAACTCACAATAAGGGGAAATTATTATTATCAGGATTAAAAGCTATCTTAAAAGCAATAAAACTGTGTAGAATGAGGATATTATCATACTAGACATTAAACACTCCAATTTGAATCAATCAGTCAATCAAATTTCATGGCTAATTGTACCAAACTTCGTATATCTCCACTGTTTCCTTTGTCTACCAGCAGGGTCTAATTTGAGACAATCCGTTGGACTTAGGGGCTTGCATTATTAAAATGAAAGATTTGTCATCAGGGCCTTCTCTAGGATTAAGACCGACTTCTATTATCATAGAGTTTAGGGCCTGTATTAAGCAATTCTCAAACAAATCTCATTTGCTCTAATATGAGATGACAACCTATAGGGAAAAAATAAGTATGTATTAATAAAATGTTTTGACTTTTTTGGTCAAACAATTGCACAAAAAAATGTTTGGAAGTAACTGGATGCAATTTAGCTGAGCAGGCCATTCAGATATCCAGGGGAATATTTTCCCCTAGATGTAATGTAATTAATAAATAAAATAAAAGTAGTATTAGCATTCATAATTTTAGTTTCCTAGTCTTGTTTTCATTGAAGGACTGACTTAAAAGGGAACAGAAATTGAGAAGGCTTGTCTCTGTGATCCTTGAAAATGGCAGTTCAAGGTTTTGCGCAGTAGCGTAGCAGCCGAGGGATCGCAGGGCTCCGTACTCTATCATTGATTTCTGCCTGTTAGGGAATCCTAAATGGACTTGAAGTTGCCCCGTAGAGGCAACAAAGAAAGAAATCCTGCTGATTGCAAAGAGACGGAGGTTGATCTGATCGATTTGGGAAAAGCCCTTCAGAACCAGCAGGAGAAAGGCTAGCTTAACTTCAGAGTCTAGTCCAAGCTACAAGCACCAAAGCCCAAAAGCACGACTCTAAGCTGACTGTAAACAACGTGTTTGGAACTGGGTAAGAACAGTGATTTTGTCTCTTCTACTTGAAAACTGATTTCCTGGAAACAAATTTAAATAAGAATTTTATAAACAGGATCTATGATGAGACAACCAAGATGATCAATTAGAAAATTTTTTGCAGAAACATGAGACAAAATGTCTATATTTAATTGTCATTTATTCAAATAATAAAAAATGTATTAATTTAAGGTTGGCAAAAGAGAATATTATTGGAAGAAGAGAAAAATCAAGCAAAGCCATTATATGGACTATAGAATTATAGAAATTAATTGTTATTGATTGTTTTTAAATATAAATCCAGACAAATGTTAAGGTGATTATGTTAAAAATCAATAAAGCATTTTTTTAAAAAAAGAAAATGGCAGTTTATGAGTAAATAGATAATTGAAAAGTAAAGAAATTAATATGGTGAGAAGCCCACCTTACTTGATTTTATATTATGTAGATAGCATTAATGCAAAAATCCAAATCCTGAATCATAAAGAGTTGCCTACTAACACTTAAAGGGCAAACTACTGTATAAAAATAGGAGGAAGAAGGTGTGTTGGATATGTTTGCCGTCTTGAGTTATTTGTAAAAATAATAAAGGCAGAATACAAATAAACAAATAAATAAAAATACTGTATATAAACACAAAGCAAACCTTTTCTAGCACTGAAGATGTTACTTAACTAGACAATAAAATTTCTCCAAGAAAACAACCAAGACTGGAGAGCACCAAGGATTCTAACTAGCACCTTGAATGGCACTAGGAGTCAGATGGCAATCAATGTAACTTGTGCGAATAACAGAGTTGGGAGGGACCTTGGAGGTCTCCTTGTCCAACTCCCTGCTCAAGCAGGAGACCCTATATCATTTCAGACAAATGATTGTCCAGTCTCTTCTTAAAAACCTCCAGTGTTGGAGCACTCACAAGCAGGTTGTTCTACTGATTAATTGTTCTAACTGTCAGGAAATTCCTCCTTAGTTTTGGGTTGTTTCTCTCTTTGGTTAGTTTCCATCCGTTGCTTCTTCAGGTGCTTTGGAGAATAGCTTGACTCCCTCTTCTTTGTGGCAGCCCCTGAGATATTGGAACACTGCTGTCACCCCTAGTTCTTCCTTTCATTAAACTAGACATACCCAATTCCTGCAACCGTTCTTCATATGAAAGTGACCTTAACTATTGAAGACATTATATTTTTTAGATAACATTGTTAACAATTTTAATTACAATAATAAAATCTAAAACTAAAAGAATAAAAAAAGAGTAAAAGGTACAAAAGGAAAAATCAGAAAACGGAAAGAAAAAAAGAATATAATAACAAGAAGAAAAAAGGTGACTTTCAACCTTCAGTACAATTATAAATAATTTTAGTAACTCCTCATTCCCCCTTTGTTTACAATGGATGACCTCTTCATCCATATTACATCTCTTATCTATAGACAAATCCATAAAGCATGATCTTTTAAGTCTTGGAGACAGCAGAAAGTTCATTAAGCTTTATCAGAAATAGCAGTGTATTATATTTTAACCTTGATCAAATAAACCAACTTTATATTCTTTTTACTTTCAACAGTCTTAATCTTTAGTCCATTTGAATAGAATATGATTTCCTTTCATTTATTCTTTGCTCCTTCTCAAAGCTTTAACAATCCTTTTTTTGTAAATCCAATATAAAATATTATTCAGGTCACTCTCATTGTTCATTATTTGTATTTTTCTTTTGATTTTTGAAACATCAACCAGTTTCTTTTGTTATGTCCAGTAAAACATCCTTTTCCATGTCATATTCATAGCCTGTCATTTATGGATTTATTTTTGATGCCATTGCTCTCATGCCAAATAAAACTTGTTTCTCATGTGCTATTTCTTCCATGATATCTTTTGGACATAGTCTATCCATAGAAGCAAACACTGCTATTGACACGATATTAATTTCTGATTCTATTTTTCAAAAGTATCCTTCAGTACTTTCACTGTTATGTTTTCCATCATTTAATAAGTCCTAATTAGCTGTCAATCAGGCCTAAATATTCTTCTCCCTTAATTAAAATATTTAATCCTCTCTAATGTCCAATTTTTAAAGTTACTTAAAATTAATCAGTGTATAAGTTTTAAGAATCAAAGTTTTATTTAGCTTTTGCTGTTAATTTCAATTTTTTAAATAATTAAGCTTATGATTAAAATTTTCTTATCATTAAGAATTGAAGGAAAACTCATCTGGATTTTTCACACTTGTTGATCTAATAGCTTAAAAGTAGTTAACAAGCAATTTCCAAACATAATTTCTAAATTTTAAGGGAGTCTTCAAACTTAAGTGTCCTTTAAAAAGCACTGACTGCAGCTGCAAGCAAGGTGACTATTCCCATCATCTCCCAGTGCTCAAAATCTGCCAGGGACTGCTGTCTTGCATTCTCCTTGCAACGACAACTGTTCAGAGTGCATGTGGGTAATCTCCTATTCTCTTCTTATTTGAGGAGACTCTGTCAGTAGCTCTTTGTTCTTCGCCATGGCTTTCAGACCCACTTTTTACAGAGCCATTTTCAATTTGCACTTCTTCCTGTGGAAGCCCTATTGGCACTGTATTATAGACCAACTACAGCTTCTCATTACTTTACAAGGCAGCCCAATGTAAAGTGCAGTGTAATAGTATAGTGAAACAGTAAATGAGGCATGACTATGATTAGAGCCAATAAGCGGAGTTGCAATAGATGTAACTGTACAAAGCTTTCTTGGACATAACTGTAACCTACTCAACCAGCAGAAGCTAAAAGATGAGAAGAATTCCTGTTACAAGCCAGTTCCATAAGAAAGAGTGTGATTTCATCCAGTACTAAAGCTGTTAATTCTCTGGAACTGGATACCTTCCAAACCCAAGCATAACTCTGTTTCTCTATATTCAAACCCTGATATCAATACAATACTTCAATGGTATTACATGCTTGGCCCAAGTCAAGATGGGAAATTAAATATCATCAATATACTGATGACATCAGAACCTGCGTTGAAAAATGAATTCATGCAAATTTTTGACAGCTTCTTACAGAAAGGACGAGCATTGATCACTATGGTACTCCACAATTAAGGAATAATGAAATGGACCTCTCCATTCTTATCATAACTAATTGGAACCAACAGTTTAAAACTACTGCAACTCACAGCCTCCCACTCCCAACCATTGGTGAAAGACCAGAAAGATATAATAATATGGAAAGCCACTGAGGGATAATGCAACACGAGGGTTGTACTCACATCATAGGGTATCCACATGTGCAATTAATATCTTCTGTACAATTCTGTGCCATTTCCATCCTAGACACTTGCAGATTTCTTAAGAGTGCTTATAGATATGTAAACTTTAACCAAAATCATTAAATTACAAGTTACAAGTGCCACCATATGCCTAAAAGCACAACAAGCAAAGTAGATTTTAATCCCTTAATAGCAGTGTTCTGTTTTTATCCCAGAAAATCTAGATAGGATTTTAGAAGGCTAATTATATGTATCTTAACAATCATATGTACTCACCAGTAAGTACAGCTTTTGCAGAAGGATCTGCAAGATCTAAAGCTGATTTTCCATCTGTATTCCGAATATTTGGATCAGCTCCATGTTGCAGCAGTACTGAATAAAAACATAATAATTATTCTCAAACATTTGGCATATAGAATAAATACAACTGCCAATAAACACATATACACTGACCATGCTGCCAATCTTTTCAACAAAAATCATAATCCAGAAAGCTGCTTTTGTTTAATACACCATTCAACTACGATTGGTTCCTCAAGGATGAACATCGCTCCTTATATCACACAATAGTTTAGCTCCATAAATCTACTATTAGGCTGCAAATTTTCTCTAAATTGATTATGGATAATGCAGAATTGACGTACAGAACATTTTAGAGCACATTCTCTATCTCCTTTAACTGACCTTTGGTGTACAAGTTTCAAAAAATATTTAGCCATGAACACATCCCCTGTCCAGAACATATGTACATATAATTTGCTACAAAGCTTTTGAGTAAGCAGATTGTCTATTGCAGATTCTTCTAAAATATACCAAACATCATGATTATGCAGTCATCTTACATTTTTAGCTGTCATTTTGCTAACAGAAAATTAACAATAATTATCCTTAAATAATATTGGAGAATTGCTATCTTTTATTGCAAAAAGGGATGTGGCAGTAATAGATAATAGTATTTTTTAGTATTGAAACGCTAATAATGCTGATTTTTAGGAGCTTAGTTTCAATTATTAGTTATACTTTCTGCAAATAAGGTGCACAATAAGCACAATAAGTTATCTATTTTACTTTAGACTTTCAAAAACAAGAAGCCCAAACTATTTTCTTTTAATAATACAGATAACTGAGAAGCATAATTCATATCTATTCTTGATCTTCATAATAAAATTAACAATTTAGCTTACAAAATATTTGTTCTAGAAGACAAAGCACTATTCAAAATAACTAATGCATGAATATATTCTCTGAATAAATATAATAAAATTGTCATCTTTCCTACTGGAGACAAGCAGTTGTATATAGCAATGTTAATTAAAAAATTGAACATATACAGTTTAAATATTTCACTTTTATAATCCCCATTCCTCATTTAACATTATTCTGACCTGGCTGCATAATCTGGCTTTATTCTTTACTAATTACTTAACTCGATCCTGCAAAGTTCCACTTAACAGGAAGCCATGTAAACTACACCGTAAACTAAAAAAAAATATTGCACTGAGGCCAATTTTCTTCAATGTAATAAGATGATCTTAATATTTATGTAAAACCATTACGTTCTTCAGCAAATAACTGTAAGATTCCAAAGCATCAGTTAATGTTATATTAATTTGTTACATTGTTACATTAAATGTTACATTTAAAACCGATTATGTTTATCAAATAATTGTCTTTTGAAAAAAATGCCATATATTAAGATGAAGAAAATGCATATCGAATATATATCCCACTAAGAGTGAGATGGGTGAATTTGGATAATAATGAATCTAATTTTTAAACATTCGAAGAACAAATCATTTTGTTCATAGGCCTTTGTAGTAAAAGGATTTCAGGAAGAAGCTGATACTAATTTTTGATGGAAAGCATTCTAAATACTTTACATACCGGTAGGTTAGGAGTCCCCAATCCCTGGGCTCTGGCTCAGTATTGGGCCGCAGCCCATTTGGAACCAGGTTGCAACCAGTGGGCACTTGCGCACGCGTGTGAAGCTCCACTCACGAAATGGAGCTTCATGTGCGTGCGCAAGCACACGCCACTCGTGCAAATGGAGCTATGCCTGCCTTTCACAAGGAACCATTTCCTCTCCCCCTTCCAGTTTGTGTAAAGCTGGAAAGTTGGGGACTATTGATATAGGTAGTCCTGAGGTTACAATGGCAATTGGGATGGGGATTACCATTAATTAGCAATGCAGTTATAAAACGTGATGTCACATGACTGCATCGCTTAGAGATGACAATACTGGCCATTATCACAGGAGCTCCAAGCCATGAAAACCTAGGAAATAAAGGGTGTCAGAGCCATAAATTTCTTGTTTGGTTTCTAGTAAAAACACTGCACATATATTCCATATTTTGGGAGTAGTGCTATATTTTCATTTATTTATTTAGTGTCTTCTCTCTTAGTGACTGCCTGGACAAGTCCCTGTAGTTTTCTTGGCAAGACTTTAGAAACAATTTGCCACTGCCGCCTTCCTAGGGCTCAGAGAAAGGATGAGCCAAGATCAAACCAATTGGCTTTGAAGGTAAAGTAGGACTGGAACTCCCAGTTTCCAGGTTTCTAGCCTGGTGCCTTAACTATTGGCTCTCTGATAATATGTGTTATACATAAAGTATTGATGAAGATTAATTGATAGAAATTAAATACATATTCTAGACTTAAATAACCTAGAAGCAATGTTGTATAGTTATCTGAATGATGCACAGCAATGCTAAATTAATTTGGTATACTTTTGGTACATTTGGTACATTTGTTGCCAGTTTTAATCAATATGCAATATAATTTAAGTTTTTATTTTTAAAAAAGACTTTTTGCCTCAGAGAATGACTCAGAGAGAAATACTATGCATTTAATGTCCAAAATATTAGTCTTTAAAAAACCTCTATGTTTAGTAAAATAAGTTAGATCAATCACAGACATAAAAGGGCAGATTTTCAATATAGAGCAATTGTTCACAAAGAAGATCCTAAGAACATTGAAACTGCTTCTACGGGAAGTCCTTAGTTAAGACCAGCAACTTTTCAGTGACCATTTAAAGCTATCATGGGGCTAAACAAAGAGACGTATAATTAGTCCTCAAAATTGCAGCCACTGCAGCAGTCCCACAGTGATGGGATCACGAGTCAGACGCTTGGCAACCAGCCTGCAATTAGAATAGTTACAGTGTCCCACGATCATCATTTGCAACCTTCCCTGCCAGCTTCCAATAAGCAAAGACAATGGGTAAGCTGGCAAGAAATTACAAATGGTGATTATATGACATTTGTGCCTAATATCCATGCGGGATTTGCCTCAGGATTGGAATTGCCAAAACAGCCATCATACGCTGGCACAGTTATGTGACATCAAGTTTTATTTTTTACAGTTGTGTTACATAGTGATGGAGTTCCAAATTCCAATTACTGTCATTAACGGGAAACTACCAGTACTATAACATCAAACACATACTATATTTCAGTGAAACTAGAGTCTGGATACCATTTTTATAACTTTTAACATACACATACAGACTTTTTTCCCCTAAAAACTAATTTTGTCGAAAAGTTGTTCCTCAACAGATGGGTCAGCAATATACTACTTCAGGATGTCCATATGCCAGCCAGGTCCCTTGCGCCTCACAACTTCTCATAAAGTTTACATATCAGCAGATCATTGGGATCTTTCTTGCTTTTTTATCTGAAGGTGACCAAAAAGGTGAGAATATCTGATTCAGGTTCTCTCATTAAATATAGCAAGTTGATTGAGAAATGAAAAAAGAGTGGGACTAGCTGGCATCTATTTTGCACCTTTTCTTTTGTCATTCATTGTTCAAAATCTAACAAATAAAAATAAAAGACAGTACTGGCTAAGCTGTTGAACTGGCACTTGGGTCAACCCCCCCCCCCTTTAACCTTTCCTCAGTGGAAACTCACTGTGTGACTTTAAGGCTAGTTACTTTCTCTCAACAAACTACCTCACAATGTTGTCAGGAAAAATGGGAGATGGGAACATTATCCATAGGAAGGAAGGAAGGAAGGAAGGAAGGAAGGAAGGAAGGAAGGAAGGAAGGAAGGAAGGAAGGAAGGAAGGAAGGAAGGAATCCAATAATTAATATAAACTATAGAGATATCATTTTCTATCTAATTTAATTGATGGTAGATGACCTCAAGGGATCAGGCCTCAACAACTGAACTACCTTCTTGCAGCTGTTGTTTCCAAATTGATACTTTTGCTGCACTGTAATTTAAACTTAGAAAGAAATATTTAAGTTTTTACTTGTAGCTTGAGATTTATCTTTTTCTTAACCCTTTTACATCTAATACTCTTTTTATTACTTCATGTTACAATACAAACAGTATTCCACTGTTATTTCATTATATTTTATTTTATTTTATTTTATTTTAAGATAGAAAAATGGGGGTTAAACAGCATCACCACCAGATGGATTCATAGCTGGCTGACCAGCCGTACTCAGCGTGTGGTCCTCAATGGAACCACATCTACATGGAGGGAAGTGTGTAGTGGGGTGCCCCAGGACTCTGTTCTGGGCCCAGTGCTCTTCAACATCTTCATCAATGATTTGGACGAGGAGATAGATGGGGAAATCATCAAATTTGCAGACGATACCTAGCTGGCAGGAATAGCCAACACTCCAGAAGACAGGCTTAATATACAGGAGGATCTGGACAGACTTGAACACTGGGCGCTATCTAACAAAATGAAATTCAATGGTGAAAAAAGTAAGGTTTTACATTTAGGCAAGAAAAACCAAATATACAGGTATAGTATAGGGGGTTCCTTACTTAATAGTAGCAACTGTGAGAGAGACCTCTGAGTTCTAATGGACAATCACTTAAATATGAGCCAGCAGTGTGCTGCAGCTGCCAAAAAAGCCAACACTGTGCTAGGCTGCATTAACAGAGGAATAGAATCAAGATCATGTGAAGTATTAATACCACTCTACAATGCCTTGGTAAGGCCACACTTGGAATACTGCATCCAGTTTTAGTCACCACGATGTAAAAAAAATGTTGAGACTCTAGAAAGAGTACAGAGAAGAGCAACAAAGATGATTAGGGGACTGGAGGCTAAAACATATGAGGAATGGTTGCTGGAATTGGGTATGTCTAGTTCACAAGTCAGCAACCTGCGGCTTCCCCTGCAGCTCCCAGCCTCCTCTGCCATTTGCAGAGAGAGACAGAGATAGAGAGAGGCACTTGCATTTCCCTGCTTCTCTCTCTCCCTCCCTCCCTCCCTCCCTCTCTCTCTCTCTCTCTCTCTCTCTCTCTCTCTCTGTGTGTGTTTGTGTGTGTGTTTGTGTGTGTGTGTGTGTGTGTGTTTGTGTGTAAAAAAAGAGAGTGGACTCACAGTGTTCTCGAGGAGCTGAAAAACTTACTGGGTTGAGTTCCTCCCTTTGCTGCGTCTCTGCAGGAAGCAGGAAGCAGGAAGGGCAGGAGAGAGCTAGCTAGCCCAGCTATGCTGACTCAGGAATTCTGGGAGTTGAAGTCCATGAGTCATAAAAGAGCCGAGGTTGCATACCCCTGAGTTTGTCGGAGAACAGCTTGAAGCCAGCTTGCCAGGTAAGCAGAAGATCGGAGGGGGGGGGGAGAAGAGAGAGAGAGGGAGAGAAAGAGAGAGACAGAAAGAGAGAGAGACAGACACCCAGTATTAAGCCTTCCATTTCTTTCTTGATGGTTCCCGTCTTAAGCCATGCCCATGTCAAGTTGTTATCACATTTTCCTTCAATGTTTTTCAAATGCTGTCCATGCAAAGCTTTGGTTTTCCATCTATTTAATCTATTTAATTCAGCCGTTTTTTAATTTAATTTCCATCTATTTAATTCAGCCGTTTTTAAAATATTATTATTATTATTATTATTATTATTATTATTATTATTATTATTATTATAGTATTATTATTATTATTATATTGTTGTTTTGTTGTTGTTGTATGTTTTATATGTTATGATCTGTAATTACAATTAAACTTACTTATTGTACTACTTAGTTTTAGAAGGTTCCTGGTTGCTTTGGAACAACATTGTCAAGTCAAGAATTTAATAATCAATAAAGGAAAGGACAAATATGTTTAATATCAAAACCTAAATGATACAGAGGTTAAATTGCAATCAAATATACTCTTACACCATTATGCACATTACTTTCTGCCTTATGATGATGGTAATTCAGCATCATAGCTGCAAAACCTGCTGGAAACATTGTAGAAAGTAAATTTTACATATGATAAGGGTACACAGTTATCTCTTATCTTACATTTAGAAAAGTTGTACATTAATCCCAAATATTCTATGAATCAAATATTAAGATTTTTCAATCCACAGATGGTAGCATTTTATATTTAAACTGAAATTGGCACTGCTGAATGTATTCATTGTTTTAGCTGATTAAGTTTAATTCTATTTATATTTTTTGTATTACACAGTAAGAACCATGGATTATGAACTATAAAATGCACTTAGAAGATTTGTACAGACTGCTCAATGGATTTTCTAAATGTGCCTTGGCTTTGATACTTACAATTTTTTAACATAAAAAAGTCAAGGTGTTTTGAAGAAAGATGCACTTACCAATACACACATCTATCTTGCCTTTGATTGCAGCTTCATGCAGAGGAGTATAGTTCCAGTTGTCTCTGGCATTTGGTTCTGCTCCTTGACACAGCAAGAGGCTAACTACCTCAGCGTGACCAAAGGAACAGGCATTGTGAAGAGGTATCAGTCCACCATCATCACGAGCATGGACATTAGCTCCTGTCTGTAACAAGTGTTCCACAACGTCTTTTCTTCCAAAACCTAGTGAAAAGAAGTTGAATTAATGCAATATGGCATGCATAAATATTAACACTGTATATGGCATGCAGGAGTGTAACTGTCTAAAATAAATTTTACCGCATGTATAATTATTCTGCTGCTAATACACTGCAAATAGTATAGCTCTATTTTGTTGAATTATGCATCCCGAGATCCAGCTAGATATTATATGTGTACTATGTACAACAGATAAATCATTTATACTTTTTAGATGGAATTTAAAGTATTTTCATCAGCTGCATAAAATATTTACAACTAAAATATAGTATTCTTAATACCTTATAATTTCAAAAAAAATAATAATCCACTTCCTTGGATTTGGACAGTTTCTTTCAAGCTCCCTGAGTGATCAGAAAAAAACTTCTATGGGGTAGTAGGAGGGGAATAATGCACTTCCATCTCATTCTCCATTTTCAAGGAAGGAGTGCAAAACTTTTACTGCCAAATTCTTTGAGCAGAATATGTATGTATGTATGTATGTATGTATGTTAAATTTCAGCTCTTTCGCTGTGGCTGTTAATTGCTATGAATATCTTATTAGTAGGAAGAACAAGTATAAACTGAAATAAAAGAAATGTTTGTGTACATTTAAGTGTCCCATCAGAGACCATTTTACTGAAATATTAAAGCAACTTTGAAAAAAGTTGTCACAGCGGACATTGTTGACAGTTGATCAATTAGAACTGGCTTAAGACTGTGGCGAGTAGCAAAATGGATTATTTGAAAAAACTAGGAAAATAAGTATATATACCTTATACTGATTCAGAAACAAATAAAAGTGCACCATGAAGTATACATATAAAAATGAACAGAAATTTGGAATTGAAATAAAATTTTTTTTTATTTGTTTTGAATAGTGAAAGTTACATTTTCTGTGCTTCATGAATGTTTGGGTTTTCTATTAATAGCTTATGTAAATTAAAATAATTTTAAAAAAAGATTGTTTCCTTGACCAATTTCCGGTTTATTTTATTTCCTCAGCTACTTATTCCTACATCTCTGTGGATTAAAGGTTCTGATATCATGGGTTAGAATTATAGTATAATCCTAAAACAAACTGCATTTCACACTATTTCACACATCGAAGTAAAAAACACCACTTCACTGCTTCGTATTATGAATCCAACCTAAATCAACCTGAAACTAATATTATTTATTCCTCTAAAGCAGGCATGTCAAACTTGCAACATCACGTGACATTGTGTGATATATCGTGACTTTTCCCCCTTTGGGGGAAAATGGGGTGGATGTGGTTTTGGCGTGACACATCTGGCCCACGGGCCGGCAGTTTGACATGCCTGCTCTAAAGTAATTTTTTAATAAAATAGCACCCCTGACTAGTTTCAGAAAACAATTTGCACATCAATGACCTATTACTGAACCTATAACTATTTTCCGCAGATTGAGTGGAATTTCACATAGATTGCAGGTGAGACTTAATCAATATTACATACAAACTGAGAGCATCATCTCCAATGTATTTATTATGTGTTTATGCCTTCCAAGTCAGTTTTTGACTCCTAATGACTGCCTGGACAAGTAAGTACCTGCAATTTTCTCAGAAAGATGTTTTGGAAGTAGTCTGCCATCACTTCCTTCCTAAGGTTGGAGGAAAGTGATTTTCCCAAGATCACCCAGCTGGCTTTGGGCCTAAAGCAGGACTAGAATTCAATCTCCCAAATTTTTATCCTGATGCATTAATCACTACATCAAACTTTTTCTTTTAATGTATCTATGCACACCTACATATTCAGGATAACTTATCTATTGATGGGCAAATTACACTACATTACTGGAATAAATATTAGAAACTCCACAAGGTTTTTCTATTACTTTAAAATGCTGACAATCAGAAATATTTAGAATAACAGGAAGGAAGGGAGATGATAGGAATAATTTGAAATATCTGTACCTCATTTTATCTTATGGATTTCAGGAAACTGCAATTAAAAAAAAAGTTGTGGAGTTTTACCAGTAAAGGGAGAACAGCTGGTTTTGGATCGTCTGCTTTCAAACTTAAAACATCTGTTTTTCATATTTTTGGTCCATACAGAGAAAGAAATGGGCGGGTTTTTTTCAGCTATGTACCAAATGTGGTTGTGGAAATAACTCTATATTTGTTTCATACTGACCACCATGCCTTCCCAAGAGAATACTGGAAATAGCAGTTTGGGAGGAAAAGTCTATTAAACTGATTTAAGTGTGTGATTTATCCTTTAAATCCCTCTTATGGAAACTTTAAAACATTTGCTGTAATTATAAACAGTGCTTCTGAAAGAAGAAAGCCATTATTTCTGTGCATTATTGTTCCTCACATTTTAAATAACAAAACTAAAAATGCCAGTTATGTAATCAACCAGTCTCTGAGCTTGCTCTTCAAATCAACCATTCAATTCCATAAATAACTGTTTAAGTAAAATTATTCCAAGAATCACACTTTCAAGTTCTTTATGCTTTCCCGCTATTTTTGCCATTTTTTCTTGGAATATGAAATCGCAAACAAATTTATTTCTCTGTTACTTCATACTACAGAGACCATTCAATGGGATATTTTATATGCAATTGATTTTAGCAAGTCTAATTCATGAAACTCTATACCACACAGCCTTTATTGAGATACCTTATAAAAATTTCTGACAGTGCATCTTCTGCTTAATTATATGTTCACATTACTGTACATGTTATGAAAGCCATAGGCTGAAAAACACAATGTAAAGAGTGAGCCTTAGAAACAACTATCACTAAACTGGGATTAAGATCCTAAGATGCTCAACATCCTTTATTCTTTAAATGAATGCAGTAGTAAGGGATACAGGACTGTTCACCTCTCCAGGAACGATTCCAAGTTAAATAGAGAATCCTTTTGCAAGAACTCCTTATTCTCATCGTTAGGAACTATAAATTTCCTCATCAAGTGATCCTATACAGAAATGAGCATTCTCTAGGCAGCCTTTCTGGGCCAAACTCTCATACTTTTCTTGGTTCATTCGCCATATTAACACAGTGGCTGGATTCACATCATAGACTAAGCCAAAAATCTAACCAATTAACCATTTTATGGTTTAATACAATGTGCAACCCTACTTTGCTCTCACAGCATAATCTTTCCCACTGTGTTGCTAAGAAAAAAATGACAGGCACTGCAGTTGCTCCTTCAAGGAACAGTTACATTCTTTTACCCCTTCCCTGATTTATCAGTTCTCTTTCCTGAGTCCCCAGAAAGAATGAAAAGGCAAGCCGAAGAAGGCAGGCACAACCTCCTGACATGAACTCAACCACATTCTTCACTGGACAGTACAAGAGCCAGTCTGAGCAGGGCAAGCCTTCCTTTATCCTGCAGCTCAGACAGAGCAGAGGATGTCCCTACAGAGGGAACCTAGTAATTTTGCTGCCTTGTGTGCAAGGGTCTTCCTTGCTCCATGCAGGAGATGGAAAGCCTGAAGCCCATTATGGATTACTACCACCCCCTTTCTTGTGTCAAGTGGGAGTCGGGGCCATTCGCCCCAGAGGACTTGCACCTGCGAGTAACTATTTCTTCACCTCAGCGGAAGGGTCAGCGGTGGCAAAGTATCCCACCAAACGGCGGACCTGGTACTACTTCTGAGCTCCCCCAGGACTCTCACCTGCCGCGAAGTGCAAAGGGGTGGATTTCCGCCCGGCCATGTCTTTGGCGTTGACGTTGGTAGCATCCACCAGGCGCCTGACCCGGGTTACGTCCCCATTGCGGCAGGCCTCGAGCAGCTCCCGAAAAGCGCCGCTTCCCACGGACGGAGGGAGCGGCTGCAACGGCGGAGGGGGTGGGTCGGGGCTGTCAGGAGCAGCCGGGCTGGAGGCAGCAGAGGAAGACGAAGACGACGAAGACCCGGAGCTGCTACTGCTGGTGGCGGCGCTGCTAGCCCCGGAGCCTGGCGGCGGCGGAGGCCCGGAGTTTTCGCCGGCGCTCTCTGGAGAAAAAGGCCTCTCCGTTACCGCCGTCCCTTCCCGCCCGCTGCTTGCAGGGGCCTCGCCCTCGAGTCCGGCCAGAGTGGGCCGCTGCTGAGGGGAAGCTCCGGTGGGAGAAAGGCTGGGGCTGCGAGGCGGAGATACGGGCGTCTGGACGGAGTGATGACTTGGAGGGTGAGGGGGGTGATGATGATGATGCGGCTGCGAGCGACGCGACGACGATGCCGCCGCCATTTCCCCGCTCGAAGAGCGCTCGGGTCCTGTCACTGCGGCAACGGGGAGGGATTGCCCGCCCTCGCATCCGGCTTCGTGGAGCCAATCATGGGACGGCGGGGAGGGAAGTGACGTAAAGGCAGTGAGATGACGGAAGACGAGCGGAACTCCTTCCCTAGACCGTCGGGTGTTTGCTGGCTGAGGAGTTGGGCACGAGTGAACTCTTGTATTGGGCAGCGTTCCTGGGTTTTTTCATGGAGTCCTCCATGTAGTTTTCAAGAGAATAGTTTGCCGCTGCTTTCTTCAGGGTTTTTCTTTCCCTAGTTATAGTTCTAATGTGTAGAACCAGATCTTACAATGATGTTTGTTTTGTAACCCCTTTTGAATTTTCAATATTTCTGCATAAATATGACTGAAAACGTGATCTATTCTCCGCCCAAGTCCTAAAATTAGATTTAGAAAAAAACCCAGTTGAACAAAGGAGTTCAAAACACTATACTTGTTTATTGGTTCATTGAGGAAAATAATCCCAAACTACAAAAATTGTGGATTTTGAGGCCAGGCAAGAAGGTTTAATTGTATCTCAAAAGTGAAATGGCAATTAGATTAGCATCTTCAGTGCTACAGGCACGGTTTGACAGTGTTGTATTATTTAATAAATTCATTTAAAATATGTTTAAAGAATCCATTCTCATGTCTAAAGAAAAAGCGTTTGCCTTTGCTAAAACCTCGAAGTCTGCTTATATAAATGCTACAGTCAAACTATGAGGCATTCACAATTGGTTCAGTATTTGGGCAGATAGTACCTTAGTCTTAAGAGGACTCAAAAGAGACTAGGGAAGAAAACTGTCTGAAATATTTTTGTCTAGAAAAACACCTTAAAATATCTTCCAGACTGCGTGCCTTATTAAGAAATAAATGGTGTTTAGTTGTAGTTACTCCAAGTAAATGAGAACCTTGTCAGGATTGTAAGTTACTGAAATAACCACAAGGTGGCAACCTTGCTGCATTTTTGAAATAAGATTATTCACCTGTATTCTGAGTCTAAATCTGTAGGATTTAGAAACAAAAAAAACACTGCAGAATTAGAACAAAGGTCTATTTAATCCAACATACGGTGTCCTTCCCTGACTAATCAAATAAATTAAGGAACTTCACAAGTAAAGGCAAGAGGATGATACCTCTTTTTCTACTGTGGCAGCCTTAAAACTGTTTTTCTGATATGCTTCTTGTTATTCTGGTTCCTAATGATTTCATTCACTCATCCATGCAGTTTTCTTGGCAACAGTACCCAAGTAATTTATTGCCTCCTAAGATTCTTTTCAATTTCTCAGTCCATCCTATAACCAAGGTGTTATCAGTGACTGAGTTGCTAAACTGTTTCTCTTAAAATCAGTTTTCCAAACCAACTTTCTCAATCTATTTGACAATTTGCATATCTGCAAAAAAAAAACAAACCCATTTTCAAATCACATCAGTCATATAAACTGAACTGATCTGGTTCTTTGAAGCCAACATTTGGATTAAATCAATACAATTTTTTAAATTGAATTAATTCAAATTGGATCAGATATGTTTCACATCAGTTTAATAAATAATCATCAAAACTACAGTAGTAGATGCCAATAGCTAAATCCTCTAAAAATTGTCTAGTTTCCCCTGTAAAAATATGTAACTCAGGGTCCATTGCCATGGTTGTCCAGAAGAGGGCAGTTACAGAAAGTACATGGAAATAACTTTTTAAAAAGAGCTTATCTTTAAGCCATTCTAACAGTTGAAATGCAAGACAAAAACACACAATTTCTTTTTCTCTACTTTTGTTTATAAGAAATATTTATTCCTGAACTTTGTTTTTTTAACTCCCAATTCGTTTCTTTTTAATTCTGTATTTGTGAGAAGGGATTATTGTCTGAAAAAAAATAATTTAGAAATTAAAGGTGTAGTTATTGCTGGAATCAAGTAGCAGTGCACCTATCTGCTAACCAGTCTTCTAGTAATTAGAATTACAGTAATCGTAGACTGTGCTTCCCAGACCTAACATCAGTAGAAATTTTTGAAAAACTTAGGACAGAACAATATAAAATTACCTTTGAATTTATTTTGACTCCTAAGAATTATATAAATCCATCCATGTTGGGTTTTGATCTTTGTTTTTTGGCAAATCTTTGGATAAAGGTTTTCAAAGAAACTCTTTGTCTACTTCCCAATAGAAGATGTAACACCTGAATAAGTCCATCCCACATACGTTAATTGAAGGTGCAATTAATTGTAAGGTATACGCCAATCCTATACAACCAGTATGTAGCCAACTCCCTGATGTTTCTAGTCCTGCTGACCTCCAGATGCTAAAACCAAGCAGCCAATCAGTTCTCATTTCAGCTGGCCAATAGATGAGCTTGCATTCTGCTGCTCACAGACGTACATGCACTAATAAACGGGTAATATGCTCCATCCATGTTTTCAGTACATTTATGTTGTATATATTTCATAATTTTGCAAGAGCAAAATCAAACAACAATGACAAGAAGCCCATCCTGCTGTAAAAGGACCATTCTTATCGATATGAATTTTAAAAAAAACCCTGCAAACTGTAATGATGAAAAGATAGCAAGGGCATATTTCACAAAACCTGAAGAGTGAGGAAGAGAATCCTGAGGCTGGAGATGTGGAGAACAGAATTAAGCACTATGCTTAATACTGGAAAAATCAAGCTAGGCAAGTTTTTTATAGGCAGAGGCATTCACAGCTATTCATGAACTTGCCAAAATTACAAACATGTCACGATGTTATGATGCAAGCTCTGCTCCTAATGTTTTCGCATACTGTAAGTTGTTACAACACAAGGCCAAAGTTTGCATCATGAATTATGTTATTATTTTGCATCATTCCCCTCCCCACCACAATTCCACTTGTTTATAAAGACAATGAAAATCGGTACCCCTTGACTAAAAGGATTTAAATCGTGTTCACTAATAAGGGTCCTTATATATCTTCTCTAGCTTAGATTAAAATAGATCTTAAGCAAGAGCTTACTTGTGCCTCAGTAGCTGGGAACTACAGTGTGGCAAAAGAAAAATCAGTAGAGGAAATACTTCAAAGTGTTACTGAAGGGAGAAAAAAGTATTCTAGTTTGCTCTACCATGCTTTCAAATAAACAAGAAAAAACAAGACAAAAATAAGTTCAGGGTGGTAATTATAGGAAGGTTCATAGTTAACTGAAAACAGGGCAGAGTGTGCATTTGACAAAGCAAATGGCTGTTTTATTTCTGGAACACACTGTTCAGATTCCAAATATATTTGTTAGATTTACGTTCTGCCTTTTCTTCAAGAGGTCACAGCAATATGTTCTTCTGATACTGCACTTCAACCATCAATTTATCCCAACTCCATTTGTAACTGATCTGTTGTACAACTACAGTTTCCACACTCTATTGTTTCAAAGCTATAATACTATCAGTTATATTTGGGGAACAATGATAGGAGAATATATACTTTCCTTGCATAAGCTGTGGATATCAAACCAGGAAGATTGCTATTGTGAAACTGAGTAAGAAATAATAATAATAAAAACACTGGCTAGTGAAAGTGTTCAGGAAAAGTCAGATTGTGAAATTCATTAGAAAATGGATGGAACACCAAGGAAATGAGAAAAGACACCTGGGATTATTATATTCCATAAGGGTGAATGGACAGGAAAAGATTGATTTTTCACTGATTTCTTTTAAAAAAATCAAACAGATGAAGAGGAACAAAAGAATCATAAATTACATCTTTGTACATTAATTGATTGAAATTGAAATTAAAAAAGATCTTCACTCAAAAAGAGCCTGCAGCATTTATGCTAATAGACTTTCTAGCATTTCCTGCTCTGTTTAGTGGTTCCTCTTCTTGGTCATGTTCTAAAACAGGTCAAGTGCCTACATTTGTATTTTGGAGAGTTACCTCAACTCACTGGTATAGATCCTTACCAGGAAAAGAACAAAGTTATGATAGCAATATGAAAAAACCTACGGATATTAATAATTGAAACTATACAATACTTAGTCTATAGCAATATTTGCATTGTACCTCCTCTGTATTATGTTGCACTTTTTGAAATTTGTTTCAATTTACCTCCACTGACTACTCATAAGCAATGAGCTCTTTTTGAACCCTATCTCACACTATCCATTAAAATGTAAAAGAAGGTACTAAACCTATAGAATAAGAAATATTTTATTAAAGCAACGATCTTCCTAAATATGTTCTAATTTATTTCCCTGAATCACACAAGGCAGCTGTTCTTTACTCTCCTGATTTAGGATTTTCCATATGATGATGCATTCCCACTGCTGGAGTGATTTCTCACCCACCCACCCCTCTGAATCCAGAATTTCATGGGAATGAGGCTTGACCTGTTCTTGTGCCCATGCTATTTTTTCCTTGCTAGATAAAATACTCGCTGAATATCATTTCAGTTCACTGAATATCACCCCAGAAATTGCAAGGTGTCAATAGCTTGTGTTATCTGTACTCCCAATGGCAGATGTGTTTGTCTTCTTCAACCTCTTCAACCTAGTATATCCGAGTAATAGTCATTCATAATAATGTACTAGAAAATGCAGAGTATACTGATATGCTGGCAATAGAAATTGCATGAGTATGAAAAGCAGTCAATGTTTACTGCATGATGTGTAGGAAGATTTTGAAAGTTTTCCTAAATTTGTTTTTATTCTTAATCTCCTGTGGTACAATTTTCTGGAAGTTGCCTCCAAATTATTTAGTCTAAGAAATTATGTGAATTTAGCCTGAAGAAGGAACACAACAATGAGGAGAAGAACCATGTTTATTACAACAACTGCTGTTCAGAATCCCTCTTTCTCATAAAGCAGGCACTCAATGATTACTGCAATATAAATAAATGTTGGGGTTTCTCTTTTTTTGTAAAGAGCTGCTGCCAAGCTGTACTGTGAGCTGGCAAGGAGACTTCTATTCTTTGGTTTAGATGGGATTTCAGGAGGCTTTATCTGGGGCAGGGAGAGAGTCAGTTTGGGTTTATTAGCATTAGACAAAGAGATAAACTGGATTTGACTCTAGTCATGTCAAAGAACAGGAAGGAAAAGGGTGAAATCTCCATTTTCTTTGCTAGGTTTGCTTTCTCCACTACCGAAAACACTAGATCCATGTTCACAAGTACATATATTTGTCTCTGTAGCAATATACCTGTTCACTTTGAAGGACTCGGGATAATACACAAACATGCAAACTATAAAGGATAACGCTATCAGTGAACCATCTACCAAAAGATGGCTGAACAATGTTGTTTTTAAACCCTTATTTAAAAAATGAGAAATATAAGAAGACCTGGACCACAGCAAGCAAAGTTCTCCATAACACAGGGAATCACATTTTTTTCAAGCCATGAAGAAAGGAATTGTCAACAATACCTATCAGGATGCACATATCGGCCAAGCTGGAACTGGGTGGAACAGATGATAAATATCAAGCGCAAAAACAGGTGATAACCAACACCTTGAATAAAGCCAGAAGATAAGGTAATCAA